TGCATTAATTTGTTTAGAATAGCATCCTACTTCAAGTCCATATGATAGTTGTATGACTAATGTGTATGTATGATATGACAGATGTGTATTAGAAAAGTTTGCTTACAATTTTATTGGCCAACACTTCAAGTTCGTTCTCGACTATCTCTTTCATGAACTTACAAATATAATATCCACACTCGGTACCTCCCGACTGACGGGGACACTACAAACAATTTACAATAAACGATTAGTCAAAATGAAAGCTACAATTTAAACAAGGAATGATCAATCAAAGTCCTCACCAAATCATTGATTCAATTGAGGCTAACCCTTTTGTTAGATCCACTTTGAGCAGTGTACAATTTCATTACCCTATAAAAATTGATGAAATATATCAAAGAATATACTATAATGTTTCGATAATTTATGTTACTTACGCATCAATAATCTGCTTCAACTGTTGATGGACATTGGTAGGCCTCAATGAATCAAGATAAGAACAACTTGTTACTTTCATATCTATCACCGCCAACACCCAATGTCTTCTATATAAACCAAAAAACAAATTAATTTACTAAAATATATTGATAATCAAATGAAAAAACAAACCCGGGATTATATGGCACTAGGACTATGTCATTATCATTTCTTAGAGACAATCGATCTGCAACGCTTCAAATTGCCTCATCGTTATTTTTGAATTTTGCCTTACGTCCTGATGGCGAGATTGTAGACGGGCTCACAAAGCAAATTCCTTGATATCTTTTTGGCCCATTCTTGATTTCCTCAAACAAGTACCTATATATTAACATACAAAAACTAAAATGATTAAATATATTGTGTTTTACTAAAATTAAAATTAAGCACTTACATCATATAACAAGTAATCGCAGAACCGATCATATCATCCACAGTAAAAACCACTTCAAAATCTTCCCATGTTATGTACGTGAAACTCTCATACCAAAACATATCGTCCTCACATTGCACTTTCACGGACTCCACATTTTTAAGTTGTATATCAACCATACGTGCAAACACTTTCAAAACACGGTTGCTTTCAACTCTTAGCCTTGTCCTCATTTGTTCTCTCGTCCTCCTCCTTTGCAGTGTTCCCTCCTTTTATTTCTTTTTTCCCTCTTTAGTGTCCCTTCTCCTTTCTCCTTTCTCCTCTTCCTTTTTCCTTTGCGGTGTCCCTTCTCCTTTCCCCTCTTCTTTTTTCCTTTGCGGTGTCCCTTCTCCTTTCCCCTCTTCCTTTACTTTCTTTTTTTCCGTCTTCGGTTTCCCTTCTCCTTTCTCCTCTTCCTTTTCAACAAGTTATCTTTGCCGTTTTTTCCTTTCTTAATATCTACTTCATCTCTGTTCACACTTTTTTTCCCATAAACGCCAACACTTTTTCCTATAAAAAAATATAAAGTCATCATTTAAATTAGACCTATATAATTTCTTTAAATAAATGAAAATATTACCAAATCAGAGCATCGAATGACTAGATGTCTAAGCCACTTCACTAGGAACCCCACTATATCTTTAACCTTGTAAATGAACTCCTCATCTAGTGGAAACGGTAGTAAAGTGTCTCCTTGCACACTCATTTACATTATTACTTCAATGTTTTCACCTGTTATATAAAGGTAAAACTAAGATCCAATATTCTAAAAATGAAAAAAGAAAACTGATATTTTTTGTAATACCCGATAGATCATTGTGCTTCACTATCATTCCTTTGGCAACTATATTGGAGGCAATATCAATCACAAGATAACAGGAAGTATCCTATAAATATATAATATTAGTTGTAGTCAAGACTTACATTTAATTCATACTATAATTTAAAAAGACTTACAAGTAATTCCTCGGGTGGGTTGTCTTCAAAATCTGCTTTGTCCCACCCTTGGCAACTTGTGCCTTCAGAAGCATAATTCATCCCTTTTTGTAGTTTCTCTATTGCACCTTCAATTTGGTTGAACCTTTTTTCAATCTTTTTCTTCTCACCATCTAAGTAGTTATTCACGGTCTTAGGTAAGTAAAAGTATTGGTGTAGCCTTACAAATTTGCCAATCCCTCGTACACGGCCACGTTGTTCCTGGGTACCTAGGGCTTGAGTAAGCATGTCATTTGTTCCATAAGTGACCTATCCTAAAGTTTCTGAGTTCTGCATCTCTTCCTGTAGTGAAAGCAAATATTCATATTAAAAAATGCCAAAGGATTAAAGCTCATATGGTTTTAAGTTCTAGCATTGTAAATATTGTTGTTGTATTTTTTTCCTAGCGCCAATTATTCATCACTGTAATAAAATCTTGATCGAATTCAAGCAAAAACCCAAGGCATATCATTATCCTATTATGAGGAGGAAAAAGTCTATAATTAGTGTATTTCCTTTTTATTATCATTTTTTAATTTATTCCTCGGGGAGATCACATTATTTTATTTTTCGTTTGCTCTTTGGAAATTTGGTGTCACAAGCACATAATGTAGTCAAATTCCTAGATATTAGTTAGTCAAAGTATAACTAACCGTGGCACATAAGGACATTAGGTAAAACTCTTTTTTAACACACCTCATAACTAATTCCAAATTAAAAGGACCACAAATGCTTGTCCTATAGTTTTTATGTGCACAAAGTTATAGTCAAAGATAACTGAAAAATAATTGTTAGGTAAAACTATTTCCATTTCGACATTGAATATTTGTTAAGTAGGTAGTGACCGGTTAACTTGGCCATTCTTTTGTCCACCTAGATGCAAGGGCAAAATCAATAATTTAGTATATTTCAATGTTGAAATGATTCAAAATTATAATTTAATAGTTATAAGATAATGGTATAAAAGTAAACTCCAATTAAATATGCACGCAAATCTTAACTTTGTTATAAAAATTGCACGAAAAGAAAAGACTATTGATGAGGTTAGATAAAATAATGATAAAATTGCACAAAAAATAACAAACATGTCCAAATAAATAAAAGTTAAAAGTAGAAGAAATATGAGGCTTATTAGAGAACATTATTAATGATCGAATTAACACCAATCATAATAATGAACAGACCACAATTTATTTTAACCTACAAATTATGGGTCAAATGATATTTACTTAAGAAATTAAGCCAAATTCATTAAGTCATTCTAAATTAAGGACCAAATTAAAAAGAGCTTAAACTTCTAGGAGCTAATTGAAAATAATTAGAAATATGAGGTTAAATTATTAATAAAAATTATGCATTTAAGACCAAAAATGAAAAGAATCAAAATTGTAGGTCTTAATTTCTAACTAGAATTATGTGCCTAAGAAATCTCAAGAAATAACAACAATTCCTTAATAATTCCTTAACTACTGAGATCGTTCGGTTTGTGCAAATTTCGTGAATATAAATCCTTTACTTGTTTTCCCCTAATGCCAATGAAGGGCGGAAACTGTAGAAGAACAAGCTTAGAGTCAATTTAACTTTGGTGAGGTCGAAAGGTCGGTTTTGTCAAGTAAAACACCCTTTCATTAATTTCATTAATTGTTATTATTATCATCTATCGAAAATTTTATCTAAATATAAAAGTCAAAGAATCCAGTTTATTGAATTATTTGCCAGAATTGATGCAGTTGGTGTTGCCACCTTCAAACGTGTAACAAGTATGGAAATAAATAAAGTAGTTTGAAATAAGCAGACATATATATACTAACTTGGTTCTATAACAATAAGATGAAAATAAATAAAGTAGGAATGTTCACTGGAACTTACCATTTTATCAACAACAATCTGGACATTCGTGTCATAACCACCTTTTTCATTTGTCTTGCATTTTTCCACAACAATGCTCTATTAATCTCATCTTCCTCATTTCCCATTTCTTGCATCAAAATTAAGAAGAATAACAACAATGAATTAACATAAACAGATGCATATCTAAACTATTCAATTAATTTACTACATACAATCTCAAGAGTTAGTCCAGCGTATCCTTTTCTACTCAATTGATGATTGTATCTATGTTATCCACACATTTTTTTTAGTTTTCTAACTTGTTTCCTGCATTAGAAACATTAAAACTGTCAAGATTGGTTTCTAAAACTAATATATATAACAAATACAGATACGAAAAGTTTAACTAACCTGCCACTTCTTTGAAAGTCTTTGCGATACAAAAACCTTCTAGTCATATATCTTCAAATAAGGATACATATCTGGAGGGTTGAGCAGATTTGCATTAGGGTTATTCTTAAACTTCTCAATGAATTTCTTATACAAATAATGCTTAAAGTTCTTCCACTTTATCCCAATGGATTGAAGGGTGTTCTTCCAACTCCTTGGATCAAGTTCAAAATTCATCTGAAACATAAAGCATTAATTAATAAATATTTTTTTTAACAAAAAAAAGATAATTGGAAGTTAAGATCAGATGTTAGACTTACCAGAATGTATTGCTATAAGTCTTCTTATTTTCCTGTTCAACATCTCGCCAAGTGGCATAAGTGATAGACACCATTGATCTTGCTACCATGCCCTCAATGGTAGCAAGTTTCGTTGCTTTAACGCCAATTGAACACCCTTTTTATTGCAAGTAACGATAACTTTTTCTTTAGTAGTTTTTCCCTTTATTGTCGGGCCTCTTTGTTTAGAGTCTTCATCATGACTCGAAGACTGATCCGATTCCATGGTACCAAGTAGAACTTGTTTCAACATGATTTAAATAAAAAAAGTAAGTACATTGCTATTTCTTGCAGTTGAGACAGAATTAATAACATACAGATGTTGAAAAATAGCATACCAAAAATTAAAGATTTTATTTTGCACACAATATTTTAAACTAATATTCCATTTCTATCTGAGCGTGTACACAAGAAATCATCATCAAGTTCTACTAAAGGGGAGTCTTGTGAAAAATCAAAAGTAGCATGGTATTCCAACATATCATCAGTTTCACCATTTGCTCCATAATTGTACATCTTATGTGGTGTGAAGCCGACAACAGACAAATTTGCATCTTGTTGATTTTGAACATAAAAAACTTGTTTGGCTTGACTAGCTAATATGAAGCGTTCAGATTGGTGATCAAGCCTAGAAAAGTTAACCACTGTGAATCCAAAATCATCTTTTTTATTCCATGACTATCAACCCAATCACACATGAAAACAAGAGCAGTGAATATGCGATAATCAAGATCCCATATATCCTGTATACGACCATAGTAAGTAACAGTGCCATACACGAGATTGGAGTCTTTTGCACTAGCAATCTGGATAGCATGTGCAACTAGAGATACTCCACTACATTGAGTTATTCTTGATTCATCTCGAGATGTTGTATGGAACCGATACTCATTTATGGCAAAACCACTATATTTCTTCACAGTAAAACTTGGCCCTTTGGCCAACCAATAAACACTTTCACAAATGTCTTCCCCGTTAGCCAAATGTGTATCAACCTTAGTCTTAAGCCAACTAATAAATGTCTGATTGTGCTGAGTCTGCAACCATTTACTATTTCGAGAGGCACGGGGGTTATGATCATTCAATTCCAACATATGCTGCCTAAATAATATTAGAAGTTAAAATCATATTAGAAGTTAGGAAAAGTTTAATGCATTACATAGAGTACAAAGAAGACACAGTGGTTCTTACTCTATATACGGCTCCACATCAGCAGTGTTTCGTAATACGTAAAGATGAGCTTCATCAAGTAGCTTAGCATCTACAACCTTGACTGTACCTCGTGATAAAGGTTTGCCTGTGCGAATTCTTTCATCAGTACGTTCATGAGGATTGACAATTGATTTCATGTTTTTTAAGTAGTCTGAGCAAAATTCCAAGGCTTCCTCTGCCACATAACATTCTGCAATGCAACCTTCGGGTCGATTATGATTTTGTACATAGTCTTTGAGTTTTTTTATGTATCTCTCAAATGGATACATCCACCTAAAATGAACCGGGCCACATAACCTCACCTCTCTAACTAAATGCACCATCAAGTGAATCATGACATTGAAAAACGAAGGTGGAAAATACTTCTCTAACAAACACAAAGTTAATACAATGTCACTTTGTAACTTAACTAGCTTATTAATGTCAACGACTTTACTACACAACACGTTGAAAAAAATGACACAAACATATTTCACATGTAACATCACCTTTATTGCAAAAGGGAGAAGTTGTTGCTTCAGTACATGAAAATCATTAGACTTCAAACCATTCATCTTTGATACATCATCAGACACGAGATTCTTGAAATTTGAACAATACCCATCAGGCACTTTTATGGTAGACAGGGTCTCGTAAAACTGGTGTTTCTCTGTGGTATTCAATGTGTAGCACGCAGGCAGAAGCCAAGTACTATTCTCTCTTGGTTGAGTTTGTAATTCAGGCTTAATGCTCATCGCCACAAGATCTTTTCGTGCTCTTAACCTATCATTCGTCTTGCCAGGCAAATTCAACAATGTCCCATAAACCCTCTCACACACATTTTTCTCTATGTGCATAACATCTAACTGATGACGAACAAGCAACTTCTTCCAATATTCAAGTTCAAAAAAAATTGATTTGTAGTGCCAAAATTTAGCTCTCTCAACGATTCTTTCTTTTTCCTTCTTTGACATTTTCTTCGTTGGCGTTTTCTTCTTAGACGTTGTCTTATTAACCCATGAAGTCTCAAACCCCCTCAGATAGTCGTAAATCTCTTCACCTGATAATGGTTGTTTTATAACATCATCCTCTTGTTGATTGTTGAAATATTTTTTTCTTTTACGAAGAAGATCTTGAAGTGGCAGGAATCTTCTATGACCAAGAAGGCATACTTTTTTCGAATTTGGCAACCACTGTGAACAAGTATTCTCTGAACATATTGAACACGCATAATAACCTTTGGTAACACACCCCGAAAGATTACCATATGCGAGAAAGTCATTTATATTCCAAAGTAATATTGCTCTTAGATTGAAGTATTCTTTCTTATAAGAACCATATGTCTTCACGCCAGTTTCCAATAAGAGTTTTAGATCTGCTATCAATGGTGCCAAGTAGACATCAATTTTGTTACCAGGTTGTTTTGGACCTGATATCAATAGAGTCAACATAATGAATTTTCTTGTCATGCACAAATAAGAGGGTAGATTATAAGTTATTAAGATAACCGGCCAATAGTTATGCTTGGAACTTAATGACTTGTGAGGATTGATACCATCAACGGACAAGGCTAATATAAGATTCCATTTTTCTTCTCCGAATTCTTTCCACGTTCTATCAATAAGCTTCCAAGAGGGGGAATCACGAGGATGACTTAACATATTGTTATTAGTCTGACCTTGTCAATGCCAAGTTAAGTCATGTTCCATTTCTGGTGACGAAAACATTCTCCTAAATCTGGAGATGAGAGGAAAATACCATAAAATGTTTAAAGGTACGTTTTTGGTATTCTCCTTCCAATGAGATGTGCCACAAGTTGGACATTGAGAAGTATCCTTATGTTTTTTCCAGAATAGAACACAATCGTTTTCACATGCATGAATTTTTTCATATTGTAGACCTACTCCTTTTAGCAATTTTTTGGCATCATATAGGGAGTTAGGTATTGTATTATTTAATGGTAAGACATCTTTTAGGAAACCTAACAATACTTCAAAACTAGCCTCAGACCACCCTGTTTGCGTGTTGTAAGTATTATAAATTATACGCAAATAATGTGCAAGTATACACAATCGCTCAAGTAATATAATGATGAGTGGGTATCATCTCCATAGGGATTGGGTTAAATTACAAAAGTATAACCAAAACAATGCACTATTCTATCTAAGTATAGTTAGTCTTGATATATACAAATGTCACGGCAATGTAAATGTGTATGCTGGTGGATATGGAGTGATGGTATGATGGTGTAGCAAATAGAAATGCAATGGCAATGATGGATGTTTAATGTTCAGTATGGTGAAATATCAAGGCAATGAAAAATGGTAAAAATAGTAAATAAAAAGAAAATAGAATGTAAAGAAAATAATCCTCACGTGACAAGCTTCCAATGGAATGAGTGGTAGGGATTGATCTAAGGATGCTAAACTTATTTCTCAAGTATATTTAAGCTATCTGGTCTTTACTTACTCGACAGAGCTTTCCTAAAGTGTTCAAAAGAACCTAACAGAATAGGATGCCAAGGCATCTGCTCTCACTCAACGATGTTGCCCAGCCTACCCTATTGATAAAGACATCATTTTTAGTCATTGAAATCCTATCCTAGTCTCTTCCGAGATCTAAGGGATTAAGTTATAATATTCCTAGGCCTGTTCAAAGCCCCTTGAAAATACTATAACCCATTACTTATGAGGATCTTATCTTGTGTTTCTTCCGAATACTTACAAGTATTTTTAGTCTAGGATTTTCCGAATACCTAACCTTCATCTAAAAAATGGACATTTCCATGCCTCTTACAAGCCTAGATGGTGAAGCATTCATAAGCAAAGCAAATAAAGAACCAAAATAAACTTAAATATACCATTAAAAATAAAGTTCAAATAACCATTAAATCAACCACCACCAAATAAGTTAGTTCATGGTGGGGTTCAAAATATCCAAACACAAAGTCATGAAAATATTTGTTCCAACAACCCACAAATAAATATAAAATAGCAGCAAAATGGAAAGTTGAGAAGAAGCCTTCGACGCGCCACCGGAGGTCTCCTCTCGACCACCGTGAACCACCTAGCTCGCTAGCTCCTTTCGGCGTCTAGCTTGCCACTCCTTGGAGCTTTATCAATGGAGGAATATCCCAAGGAAGAAGAAAGGAAAAAGAAAATAAAAATCTGATTTTTGCTACAGTATGCGTGTGCGTGAATCCCCTCTTCCTCTCTCCCATGAGGTTTCATATATAATAAAAAAATATCTAGGGATAATGATGATATTATTGGGTGAAAAATACCCCTCATACCCCTAGAATCACATGTTGAGCGTGAATCTTATCCTCCAAGTGGAAGTGGTCCTCTGGCGGCTCTGGCAGGAGGTTACAACAGTCCTTCACGTGCAGAGACAGTTGTCTAGTGCCAGCTGTCCTTGTGCAGAAATATCTTTTTTGTCTTTTTCTGTACCATAAATGCCGAGGCATTTCATTCTACTTTAGCAACGTATGATGCCGCGGCATTGTTTCCCAAAGAATCCTTTTTCTTGCTATTCCCTGCACACCACAACCAAACTGCACCTTTCCCTCAAGAGCACCATTAAGAAATAAAATAACACTACCACCACAAATGCAACTACATAATCCTAAAATGCCTCAAATGAGCTTTTAAACAAACAATAACTCAAGTGAAAAAGGCCTTAAAAGTAGCCTTTTTAAGAAGTTATCACACCCCAAACTTAAGCTACTGCTTATCCCCAAGCAATGGATAGCAGTTACATAAGTAAAATGTCATGGCAATGTTTGACAGTAAGACAGTAGGATAAAATTGAATTTCAACCCTCAGAGAAAAAAAAATAAGCTTCAACATACTAGACTTATCAAGAATTCAAGTACTTTTCCCTAGGTCAAGATCCTTTGTCGTAGTGTGTGTGCGTGATTGTATCCAATCTATACTTAGCAAACTTAAACAATTTCTAATATAGTCCTCTAGTTTTTGCCAAGGCATTTACTTATTCATTAAGGACATTTTTACTCCCTTTTTTCTGAACTTTTTTTTAACTGTTGTTATGATGGGAGTCAGCTCATCACACCTACTCTCCCACACTCTAGATGAAAGAGAGCATACCTTTCACCCCCGAGCTAATTAAGTAGAGTCATCCCGTGACTACTTTCATTCACTCATATGCACAAGGCTGCCATTTATTAAAGAAAGTTCCAGGCAATGCCACGGCAAAGAGGAGTGTCCCTCTACAGCTATGCCTAAGCATTTATTCACAGTTTCATTTCCAAGGGAGTTGTTTTTTATTTTTTCTTTTAAGCACAAAACTATATTTCAATGCCAAAACTAACTAGAGTTATTTCATAAATTTTTTTTTCTAAATTTTCTAAGTATAAAAAGCATACAAATCGTGTAAAATTTTCACAAAGCATCAAGCCCTAGAGTGAGTTCTATCATTCTCAACAGTCATTTACATTTAGAATCTAGCCTAATAAAAATCATCATCATCAGGTATCCTAAAAACATTCTATCTAACTATCCTACCATTTACTAATGCCATGGCATAATACTACGCTAATGCTATCATGCATATGACCTACCAAGAACAATACATCCCCCAAACTTAAGGGAATCATTGTCCTCAATGCTTAAACTAAACTATATATAAACTAAATGCCATACAATGAAATGCAACTAAATTATAATGAATGCAAAGGAGGTACCTCAATGTTTGCGTGGTGGTGGTGCCTTGGAGGTGCTAGCAGCTCCTTGCTTGGTGCGCTTGCGTATTGGTGCTGGGATGGACTCGGAAGAAGTGGAGTAATGACGCGCAATTCGTCCAGCCGTGGTCTTGGTGCGTCGACCACTATGTGGCTGGAGAAGGATTGGGTGCTGGGACAAGGCTGGGTGTTTCTTCGACAGGGACAGTGGGCAGATATTTAGGAGTTTCAGAACGGTGTGGAGCAGGAATCGGATCATCAGCGGGAGGATCAACTGCATCTTGTTCGGGCTCTGGAGATGCCTCGGCATTAAATGCCGGCAGAATTTTGTCTGGGAAGCCAGGGAAATTCCGTTGATCGTAGGGAATAATTTCTTGAAACATTGATTCCACCACAGCATCTCTATGCTTCACGTATCCAAAGAAGTTATGGATATCACAGTGTAAAGCATGCAGGTGTGTCTGAGTCTGCATCACAGCTTCCTCGAGAGCAATTAGCCTTGCCTCGGCATTTGATTGTATAGTACCTGTAGATTGCTCATGAGAAGATTTTTTAGATTTAGGATTTTCAAGTCCTAATAGCAGTGGGAGTATGGCTCTAGTAATGCCCGATAATCCAGGTAAAATTTCATCAAAAGCATTTTCCTCAACCTTTTTCTTACGACATAAGGCAGTAATTAAGTTAGGAAACACTAAAGCACTTTCCTTTTTACTTAAGCAGTCATGAACTTGCTGAACAATAACACATCCAATATCAATAGGACGGGACACCATTATCGAATGTAAAAGTAGTAAGCGTGAAAGTGATACCGTAGTGTTGTGGGAAGTGGGCATGAGTTTATGCTTAAGGAAGTGATTCCATAACTTGGCGCGCGGCTGAAGACGTTCTCGGTTGACCGAGTATCGACTAATTTGATGCTCATTCCACTCAATGTTTTCGAAACAAAGGTCCTCCAAGACCCCATCGTATATGGTGCTATCAGCCTCCTCTTCGAACGTGGCATGCCCGTCTACTACATCCTGTAAATGAAAATATCGGTTAATCGCATTGGGTGTAAAACGAATCTGTTTACCTCGAACGAAGATAGAGTGTTAGTTGGGCTTGGAAATATTCGCGTAGAACTCCTTAACCACCGAGGCATTTACTGAACCAGGATGACGGGCGAATTTCTTTCACTTGAGCGATGTCACGATGTCCATAACATCGGGTCCAAAACCACCATCGGTTTCCTCGGTAAAAATAAACCCTAACTCAAAAAAGAGTTTTCGGTTCTTGAAGTTTTAGAACCAAGCCCTGGCCTCGTCATCTTCAAACTGTTGCCAAGCGGTAATGTCGGTTGGAGCCGGTCTTGAACGCATTATTTTCGTGTGTGTATGAAGCAAGAAAAATGATAAAGATAGAAACTTTTGAAAGCTTTAAAAACTTGGATGTATTTTGGCTATGGAGAGAATAAGGGAAGAAGATGAGTAAAAGAAAGAGAAAAAGTAAAAGTTAAAATGAAAGAGAAAAATTAATAAAGAAAGAGAAGAAAAAGTTAAAAATTTAAGAGGGAAAAGGTGTGATAGGACAGTTAAGAGAGTATTGAGTGGGTGGAGGGGGTTATGAGTGTATGGGGAAGGAAAAAAAAAAACTGCCAAAAGGTAATGATGGTGATAGGACAAGTCTATGGAAAGAGAAAAAGAAATGTCAGAAATTAAATTAAATAAAAAGAAACAAATCAAAAGAATATCTCTCCAATTAATGCATTGTCCTTTCCTCCCTTTGGTAACCGCTCTTTGCACGGTTTGCAGCACTGTGGTCCCTACAAATCATATAAAAAATTAATTACAAAATGAAATAAAAATAAAAATTAAAATAAAGAAAAACTTAAATTTTAAATTTTTATTTATACACATACATAAATTCAATGTCGTGGCATCGAATTTTGGTTCTCCTCTGGGCACGCTTCAGTATTGTGCAGTC